TATATTATATATTATATATTATATATTATATATTATATATTATATATTATATATTATATATTATATATTATATATTATATATTATATATTATATAATATATAACACACTCATTGATAATAATAATAATAATAATAATAATAATAATAATGTTTAATAGTATTCTAAAATAACAGATTTAGGTCTCCATTTTGGGTAATAAGATATATAAAGATACTCTCCCCTACAAAAATAGGCCTCTATTGATGAAATATTGATGAAAGATGACAAAATATCAAGAAGAAGTGAAAGTCTGTGCACAGGAGGATTTGTTTTATAAGCAGGGACAGGAGGCTGCACCAGTACAGAGTCACAAGGGGTTGGGTTCACCTTCTGCAGGGAATAAACTGCTGAAAGTGGGACACTGAGCAAGCACAGCCACCTCAGCACACAGCACCAGTGGGCTAGGAATTAATCTAAATAGAAATTTAAATATAAATTTAAATGTAAATTTAAATATAAATTTTAAAAATACAAAAAGCTCCTGCAACCCCCTGTGAAGGAGTTCAGGGTGATGGGGCTTTATAAATAAATGTGGCTACTTGGATGCAGACTGTTAAAGCTGCATAGCTTTGTACTTCCTTCAATGCTTTTAATTCTTCCTTCATAAAATCAAATTAAAGTTAGAAAGTGTAGAAATTGAAGAGGAATTTATACTGAAGAATGTGATTTTGATTCTGAAATGACCTAAATCTTCTTTGTTTCCACCTTCAGGATGAGATGGAGTGAACATTTCTGTCCATGTTTCCTGCAGAAGACCTTGCTCTCACCTGCACCTTCCTGCCACAGACAAATCTTCCAGCTCACAGAACGGGATAATTAGAAAGGAAGAAATTTTTATGGTTTGACTTGGAGCCTTTCATTGCAGTTTATTTGATAGTTAGAAGCATCAGCATCTCAGAAGTTAATGATCTGCCTGAAATAATGGGGATTTTAGAAGATGGAATGTTACTAAATTAATAAATATAATAAATATTAACCATTTCACTGCAAGTATATGGTCTTTCTGAAAAATAAAGCTGAGAATAATGCTGGATTTTCAGCTCAGAAGTAATGGTTTCATATATTACTGAGATATATTTTATTAATGATGATGATATTCAGAACAGAGCTGTGTATTATATTCATAATGCCCATCTGGGTTGTGCTTGCATGTTAATTAAAAAATGATTCCTCTTAACATGGGGATGCTCCCTGTCTTCAGACTTGGTTCATTCAGCAAGTTTAGGACACTGATAAGTGTGGGGAGAATGTTTCAATGTTTGCTCCTTAAGTTTATGGTGAAGCAGTGAAAGTTTACCACCTCCCCAGGTAATTAGCTTCCAATACAGGAAATATTTTGGGATTCTCTAGGATCTACTGAACAAAATAGAAAGTATGATGAGAGATGAAATGAATTATAGACAAGTGAAGGAAATGGGGAAAGTTTTAAGAGAAATTGTTTTATATGGAATAGTTATTATAACACTTAGTCATTAAAGCAGCAGTAATAAAATTATATTTATAGCTGAATAAGGAGTCTCGGTGTGATTAAGATATGGAAGTAGCTAATTGGACTGCTGAAATATTAGGATATTGAAGTGATGAAAAGTATACAAATGAAAATAAAAGTGCATAAAAATTAATGAGGAGACTGAAATAGGAAATGGAATAAAGGAAAATAACAAATGAAGCAATGTGGAATGAATAAACACCCAGCTGGTAGACAAGGAGATATTGAGGGCATTGCAGAAGTGAAGGGATATTCATTGTCTCAGGGCTCCCACTTGTGCAGCAGCTTTGCCCAGGGTCAGGCTTTGGGGTTCCTGTGAGTCCAGCACATCCCTCTGGCTGCCCTGGCTGCCTCCAGGGGCACAGAGTCACAAACACCTGTGGTTTCAATTTTGTGCTGTCAATTTTGTATGAGGAATTACAAACCACAAGGGTTAGAGAAGTGTGATATTTGAACTAACACAGGGTGGAAAAGTAGAAATTTGGGATTTTTAGAATGGGGTTCAATAAGGTACAAGATGAAGGAATTTGGGCGTGTCCTGACCTTCTTCTCCTTCTCTTGCCCTCCATGTCTTGCTGTGATGGTGACACTTTTCTGTTGGCTTAAGGTAGAGATTCAGAGTCTAACATAGGTGATGGGAATTGGCAATAAATTGTAAACAGACACATAGTTTTGAGTATATAAGGTGGGAGGCACCCAAGGCTTGGGCAGAACGCCATGGCCTCCTTGCCAGCCAGAGCTGGGCAGGTCAGAGAAAGAATGATATAAGAATCAGAAATAAGAAATAAACAACCTTGAAAACACAATGGGAACATTCCAGGCTCCTTCTCTGGCTGTGGGGCCAGGGAAGCAAAGACTCTTTTCCATCTCGGGGTCACCCTGACCTCAGAACCCCAGCAGATATCAACACCTGGGTGTGCAGAAGGTGATTTCTGCCCACCAGCATTTCCCTGCTGCAGGCTGGGCTGTTCCTCCCTGCTGTGGGGCACAGACGTGGGGCTGGGGAGCCAGGCTGGACTGGGTGTGAGGACAATCAGCCTCTGCTCTTCTGGGACAGGAGGAAGGCCAGGGGGGGTCGTTGGGATGCTTTAACCTGGATTTGTTTCCTGGTGCAGGACTGAGAGGAGATGGGGGAATGTCCCACCAATTCTTGTGCCGGCAGGAGGAAGGTAGCAGGACAAGGCTGTGTGTCCTTGTTCTTTTAAGTTTCAGAGTTCTTCTAAAAGATTTTTATGCCTTCTGATGTTTGCATATTTCTACAGGAGTTCTCACACATGTTCATGTAAATAATGGTTGTTTTGCATTCTTCTTTGTGGGAGGAGGGACTTAATGGACTGTTGGTTTGACCAAGTGTGGTTGGAGAGGTGGCAATTTCACCCTCCAGTCCACTGTCACTTTTGAGATTCTATATATTGCAAAGTCAGAAAATAAACTCCTCTTTTGTAGTTCTTTTCTTCCCTCTTCTGCCTCTGTGTGAGTTATTTCGTGTTGTACATCAGGGCTGGAACAGGCAGCTCACTCCAGGAGAAGGTGGGATTGCCTCTGTCACAGGCACCACGAGCAGGTTTAGGAACTGGCCTCAATGGCCTTTTCAAGCTCCATTTCACCTCTTCTGTCTGATCAGGTCACTCAGTGCCCTCCACCTGGGACATCCCCAGCTGCTCTGGGCCACCAGAGCCTCTCACAAGCTCCAGGGGAAGGTTTTCCTCCCAGATCCTGTCCAACCCTGCCCCTTTTCAGTCTGAAGCCATTCCCTGTGTCCTGTCACCCCTGCCCTGTCCCCAGTCCCTCCCCAGCTCTCCTGGAGCTCCTCTGGGCTCTGAGCCCTCCCTGGGGTTTTCTCTTCCCAGCATGAACAGCCTCCCCTCTCAGCCTATTGTCACAGCAGAGATGCTCCAGCCCTCTCAGCATCTGTTTTTTCTCTCTCAGTAAGAAAAACTGTTCTCAGAACACACTCTATTTAAAGGTTTATTAATCAGATTATTCTAATTTCTTCAACTCATATTTCAATCCTTTCAAGATTCTCATAACAATTTTTAAAAATGTGTTTTCCAAGCTTGGAAGATTTGGAAAAAATACAAACAATTTGGAAAACATATAAAACATTTATGATGGAAACAATGAGATTTGCTGCACACTTCTATCTGCAGCTTTGCAGTGATAAATTCAATAGAATTGTTACTGCAATTATACATCAGGACACACCAAGTTTATGTTTGCACATAAATATGAGATGAGCTGTCCTGCCAAGCACTTTAAGTAGCAGCTGATGTTTCATTATATCCCTGATTTATACCAACAAGGTAAGATATTTACAGTTAACTAACTCTGTAAATAATTTTGTCCTCTGAGATACCTTGATGTGAAATATGGTCAGGAAGGAACAGCAAAACAAAGTGTTTGGATTAAACATATTCTTTTATTATGAACAAGCAACTTTACCTATATTTATCCACTTAAACTGAATTCTGTTTTACACAGAATTATCTGATCTCTTCACTATATGTAGTTAGAGAGGCTAGACTCCAGAGCTACGTTCTTATTGCATGTTCTATCCACAGACATGGTTTCAGCAAATTCCTTGCAGGAAAATGTGGAATTTTGATTTAGATGACCACTGAATCTTTAGTTTTAGATGATTTTCCCCTGAGAACTGTAGCTTTTATGATGCCCAGTGTGATGCTGCCCAGAAGGAAAAGCTTTCCTCCCTGCAGAAAGCCAGATTTCTGCTCTCAAACTTGAATTTGGAATTCAGGGAGTAGAGTAGTTATGTGTTAAAGCAGAGGCAACAGTTCCTGAACTGTTAACAAACAAACAAGAGAACTCTGCAAAGCCCACCATGGATTCTGGGCTGAACAGATGATCTGTGTCCTTTCAGAAAGGTTCTCCCCCAGTTTGCTAGCAGAGAAACTATCAGAGCAGTCCTTTGGATTATTATTAGTCCTTGCTATTATTAGGATGATGTTTTTTTCCTCTAATATCCAGCTTTGAGCTTCCTTATGCCATTTAAACCTATTGCTTATTCACTGTGGCCATGAGGAACAGATAATTCCTTTCCTCTTTGCAACAGCCTTTTATTTTCCTGATGACTGCTATAATGTTGTCTCATTTTTCTGTCTTTAGGCAAACTACTGCAATTCAATTATTCTTTTGGCACAGGTGGTATTGATTATTCCTAAGTATTCTTGTCCCCAGCACTTTTGCCATTTAAACTATCCTCTGTTTTAAGAGCTAATCTCTACCTCAATAAATTTGTCATGTGGAAGCTTAAGAAAACACAAGTTTGTTGTTTTTTTTTTTTTCATACAGTGTGTAAATAAATGATGGAAGACTTTACACTGGGCACTGCAGAGGCCAAATTATAAATGGGTTCAAAAAAAATTATATACAGCCCTTATGGAAGAATGGTCCAGAGGGAGCAGCTGAAAATAATTTTCTAAATGCAACCTCTAGCACAGGAGTTCTGAAATTATGGATTGTACCTGGGAGGGATGAACAAGGAAAGGGTTGTTCTTTACTTGCCCTGTTTCTCACATCCTTTCTCTAAGCATCTGTGACAGGATGCTTCAGTTATGACCTTCTTTTTTGGGATTGCTTCATCCTTAATAAGCTTAGGATACACTGGTTTGCATATGCGTTTTGTAAATTTGTTGGCTTATTATTTCTGATAAAACTCATAAAAGGATTATGGGCCTCTTATCTCCTACCAGATTAATTGTGAGCTAAAACAGTAAAGGTTAAGAGGCTTGCCATTTCCTTTCTTCTCCTCTTGCAGATGGCTGCCTGAGTCTCTCTAAAAACATTTATCCTTCATCTTGTTCATTAGTTGTTGACCTATACCTTGTAATATAATCCTCACTCCTTTTTAAGATAAAGGGAAAATATTATGTAATTATGGAGATAGTCTCATTCTTTGAAACATCTAATTATTTTTTTGAACTGTTCCTATTTCTTGGTTTAAGTTTTAAGACAGAGAATTCCAATTCTGAATTATTTAAAAAAAAAAAATCATACTGCTTATTTTTAAGTAGCATCATTTTGATTTTACTTACTTCCCTCTTCTCGTTCTCCTATTCTTATTATTAAGAAATTTGGTTGAGACTGGTCTTTGGAGGAGAGTAAATTGACTCTCTACAACCTGGATATGATCAGTGGGTGGGGGAAGAGCCAATTAATTTAATGCCAGAGCTAATAGCTATCCCTTCTCCAGCTTCTATTTTCTAACTCATTTTGTAATTTCTTAGTACTGTTTATCCCCGCCTGGCTTTCAATGCTGTGACATGACCACAGAACATTATTTTTCTTTCATCTGCTCTGGCAAGAGATCGTGTGTTTTCATCTCTAATCTCGCCCTCCCAGGGTGGGTTTTGCTGCAGTGCCTTTCCTGGGGGCTGCAGCCAGAACCGAATGCAAACCTCAGCTGGAGCCGTGCTGGCGTGGCACGGGGACGCTGCTCTGCCTTGGGAAATTCAGGATCCCTGGGGGGTTTGAAAGCCCTGGC